GCTCTCACCCGGATCACAGCTTCCCAAGGTTCTTTTGCGGTCCGGCCTATCCCCGATAAGTGTTACACTCGCTGACTGTAACTCTACAACTTGTGATGCTCTCATACCCCCTCCCCCTCCCACTTAGCAAAAACTGGTCTAACTTTCAACGCGATTCCTCTCTTAAGTCTGGGGCTATTGATGCATCGTTCTACGTATGCTAAGGATGCCCGTATCCAAATAAATCGGCGAGTAAGCCGACAGTGTGTTGAAGACGGGACTTCTTTCCCGCACATTTGGTAAATTAAGCTGTAATCACAGCTTTATGAAGTCACGATAACGGGATGGCTCTTTTCTTTGACGCTTCGACCGCCTAGTACCCATGGTGCCTGGGCTCATTGTTCCCTTGCCAATGGTCTTGCTTTCCTCAGGCTGACCTGCCACAACGAACACGTTAGATCTGAGGCTATACCACGGACTCCCTACCATCATCGATCATGCCTAGGCTTGCAGTTGCCTGGGCCCCGATGTAGTTTACCTCGCCTTGACCTGTCGCAATAAACCCGTTAAAACTGGATCTATCCAGACATTCCCTACCATCATCGATCATGCCTAGGCTTGCAGTTGCCTGGACCACGGTGTTGTTTATGTCGCCCTGACCTGACACGACGAACAAGTTAGAACTGGGACTATCCGGACATTCTTCACCATCCTCGATCATGTCTAGGCTTTCAGCTGCCTCGACCTCGATGTTGTTTACCTCACCCTGGCGCACGGCTAAGTCCCACACGGGTTGGCCTATCAAAAAATTCGCCTATGCCAGGACATGACCAGGATCCACTCTATCCGATCGAAATTGCAGCAAGTTCCTCACCGGCTCGCTTCACTTGAGGGCTCTTGAAAGTTCCGGCTGCGGCAAGAGTCGCGATCTCTGCCATAAGCTCGCAATGCTCGTCTCTTTCTACAGACTGCCTGGAATATGTCGGAGTTGATGTCGAGCCTCAAAAGATCCAGGTGTTTCCGCTGTTGAAACCATCTCTAAACGACTCTTACCTTGCCCCTTAGCCTGGCCCTGAGCCACAACATCCGTCTTCGTTCTAACCAGTGGGCCTCTCTTTCCCGTCGGCCTTCCGCCCCAAGTGACCGTCGGCAACCGGATATCCATGCCGCTCGTCCCACGTCCAGCTTCGCGGGCGATCACAGTGGATACAAGCGCCACGTGCGAGCAGGTGAATAACTTGTTGAAAGTCCCGCAAGAGCAGATTGTTGCCCCACAGTGGAAGTTTTTACTGTCTTCCGTCAACGTCACGACCAAATTGACTTGTAGAATCTTCTCGCGGAACTCCTCCACGCTCCCTATCTCGCAGGGCAGCCCCAGCGATAGGGCCACACGCTCGATAGCCTCCTCTCTTGTCACCACCTTCCTAGTCCGCCTAGAGGATGGCACTGTGAAGACCCGGACCTGCTCGACGCCAACGTCGACTTCTCTGCATATATCACCGGAATGTTCGACGGCTGTCAATCTATCCTCAGCTTTCTTCCTCATGCTCGGGAGCGGCCCTTGCAGATGGAATGTCGTTGTCGGGCACACTCGACAGAGACGGCCGACGTCCCCGTAGCCCACCAAGAACATGCGCGTGAGGTTTATCATCCCCGCCACTCCTCCCACCTTCGCGGCCTTCTTTCCACTGAACGTTCTAAGGGTCGAGAACGTCCCTTCGCACACGTTGTTGAATAAGGGAGCTTTGGCATATACTCCGTCGGCGACAACCAGGGGGAGCGGGCACACACCATACATAACTCCGCACGTGGGACTCCAACTCTGCCGACAGTGAACCTCGTCTCTGTCGCCGAACTCCTTAGCTATTTTGTCCAACAGCAGATCTCGGAACTTGCAGAATACCAGCTTCCCGGCGCACCCATACAGATCATCAACGACGGATGCTACGTACTCCTTCGCCGCTTTAGAGAGAGAGCTTTTCTTGATAGATTCTGTGAGATGATGCTTGCACCGAATGGAGTGAATGTTCTCGACCTTGTACGACAGGCCCTTAACAAACGCCTTACTGGCGTCGGTTATCGACATCTGGATCCGAAGACGTTCCGGACCGTGGAATATTGTACTCAAGTCTTCCAACCACTGCATCATGTGCTGGACAACCGAGGATAACTCGGTCTTGCATATCACTGCCAGTACCGGTGCCAGAGAGTACCCGGTCCTGAGAAAATTCTCTGGCCTGATGGAAGGTTTACGAGTTGGGTGGACTGGTCCAATCACTATCATGCAAGGTCCTCCGCGGGCCCCCTTGACCATAAATGTCACAATCTCGGCGAGATCGGCTCCAATGCTGACATTCCCTGTTAGGCTGATGTTACTTATCAACTCGTTGGAGTCTCACTCGTCATAGTTTTAAGTGCCTGTAGTCTCCGAGTTCGTTTGCACCTTAGATGTGCAGATAGTCTCAGCCATTAAGTCTAAAGTATGATGTGTGGTTTTTGATTTTCAATAATGAAGTTCCATGTTGTGTTGGTATATTCAGTGGGAATGTACCAACGACTATTGATACATACCTTGGGAGATATCTGTCATTAAGATTTGAAATTAGCAATGTGCATCGTACGGTTCGAAATGATGGAAGATGTATCATCATACGATATCTTGTTGCATTGGATTTCAATCATATCCGTACTGGATATCGCGTAACACTCCTTTGTCGTACCGGTTTCACGTTTCGCGCAACCTCAATCGGAATTCGCCGTTTAGACCTGAATTTTCGTTCAATACTTTTTTGTTACGGTTACTCTAGGCTCCACAATTCATGAACTTCCATGTGAGTATATCGTTTCTCATGTATTCTTGTAAAATACAAGCATCTGGTAGAGTTGTGCGTTATTTTTATTCGTAGTTGATAGTACGAAGTTGAGACCATCACCATCTGTATACTGATCCAGAGGTGCAGTATAACCAGCTCGATCATGAGTGAGTACAATACTCGAATACTCGATCATATTCTACAAATTCTGATCGGAGTAACCAAAGATTCATTACGTCTTGGCCATCACTCGGTGTTGTATTGGGTGACCAGT